CACCTTTCTGAGCTACACCGGCCTCATAATCGCTTTCTTCCAATCAACCAACTCTTTAAGCTGAATAAAATTGTCGGTTTTCAGTTAATATCATTATAGTCAGTTATTCAATAGCATTAGATAGTCATAACCTACGGGGTATAAAATCGAAGAGAGTGTCTATGAATGAAAGAGGGCACCCACATGATCCGAAGCGACATAAAACGTGTTTCCCAACTAGAAGATGCCCTTTGCTGACAATTATTTATTTCCCGTACCGTACGTGGGCGAGCGTTCTTTCGAAGGGATTCTCCCTTTAACGGGAGCTAAATAGTCTGCAACCTACTAGTTCCTTGTGATGTTGACCCTGAAATCCATTAGCGACACACCGTAATTGTTGTGTACCTGGCCGTGGGAGGCAAAAAATAGCTAAGAGTAAGCAAATTTAGAAAAAGGACATATATGAAACCGGTGGTTGAATCGTACAGGCTAAGTTACCAGGAAAGACAAAACAGTCTAGGAAAAGGGAGTCGTGAGATTGCCCCACAATCATCTTCGCCTCAAGATTCAAATATGTTGGTGTAAGCCTTCTATGCACATATAATAATTCAAAAGACTAGAATTTCGAGGACTAGATTTTCGTTGAGATCTAAATAACCTTAAAAGATTGGAAAGTAAGCTTGTTCAGCGATGGCCCTAGAAATTAAAACATCCAACTTGGTTTGAGAACTCTTGATCTGGCAAAAGTCAATTCACGTGAGAAACTTTCCAGGCACCAAAATACCATGCTTAAGGAGGCTGTACCTATCAGTGATTACAAAGTTATATCGTAAGTTATTGCTGAATTTTTACATACATACAATTTTTGCAAATGAAAGCCTCAAGAAACTTTTTGGATGTCCCTCCGTTACAAAATAAGTTAGCGCGGTGTCTAGACTTCTCGGTATATCAGACTGTCCTCAAAGTACACCGTGAAAGTGATAAGGGAAGTGATTGAAAAACTGGCTGCTACCAGCACTAGGAACCAATTTTTTGAATGTTTGTTGTCCTGATTTAGAGAGCTGTTCTGAAGGCAGTTATACTCTCCTGCGAAAACACATTTTAATCATGATTACTACAAAAAGTAGGTTCACATAGGGAGTTTTAAAGGACGCCTAAAGCCCGTTGGAAAAGCCTAAGCTAAAAGTTGGTCTTGAACAGTGTGAGAAGAATACCAAAGCGTGCAAGCTGGAACGATGTCCCGTCTTGAAAAAATATCCAAGGCAGTGTGTTGGTACTGGCTTCAGCCTCCCAAAATTATAGAACTTCATTGAGCTGACACTTCGGCCTCTTCGCCTTCTTCAGAGCCTGTAGGCCGAGAAACCAACCGAGAGCGAAACTTGCACATGGCCAGGCGATACTCAAGACAGCCCTTCAAACCAGGACTCCCCTGGAACAGATCACTAGGGGAGTACCTGGCTACCTGGCTTACCTTGAATTCAGACGCGATAGCACTAGATCGTCCCCCTCCCCAATATTGGTAATTCAAGATAACGTTGGGAAGGACCAGTACCCTCACCAGTCAAAGCTCAAAGCCAAAATTAAGAGGAAGTGGATCGTTGTCGGATACTACTATGCATAAGTTTCACGGCGCAGCAGCCTCTAGTCTGAATAAAATCTACCAATCTAACATTATGATGATTTCTAGCGGACAGAATTTTTGTAAAATCATGTGATCAAAATCGACATGAGATGGGAAAGAAAATTTTGACCATAAGTAAAATGAAAGAGGAGATTTTGAAAAGGTAGGTATCATGGGAATTGAGTAAGAACCTACATGAATACTCGAATGACCTTCCTTTTACGATTCGAGGAGGTGTGATACATAGTTGGGCACTTAGGAGTGGGCAGCAGGGCGGCTATAGCCATGCGCAATTGTTGGGTGAACAAATAAAAGCTCTTATATGGACAACGAGCCTGCATACCCCGTTGCACTCGCTCCATGCACTGGACAGCCTGATTAACCGACACAAACGTTCGCCGTCTGACAATAAGTGACCCTCATTGGACATAACGGTTTGCACCTTCAGTCACCTTGATTTCGTGATAAGCAGAAGAGATCCAATGCAAGTAAGAAGCACCTTTCCAGCTGATTGTTCATGATGGAGGGGGAAAGGCGTCAGGGGAAGAAAGTGCTGAAGGAAAGGGAATTTGAGCCAGACGTTGGGATGAAAGCACGCAATAACAAGGAGCAAGTCAATGCAGGCATCAGCTCCAAATAAGAAGAAAAAGTTAAAGTTAGAAGATTTTGTCAATGAGGACAGACTAGGCAAGAAGAAAATAAGACCAACTAGTGGAGTGTCCTCTAGCCCTATGGTAGTTTACCCGATTTGCTAGGTGGGGTTTTTGAACTTTACTACTCTAATTTTTCCACGGTTTTTTCTTTTTGCTTTTCCCAATCATTCTCCTTTTCTCTGTGCCTCTGCAGAATGTGCCATGCAGTCCACTCTCAAGAGCTAATGCGGTTGACTGGAAAACATCTGAAGTTCATTCGATTCGCAGTGCCTCTAAATCGTCTTATCACAGAGGTTTTCATACCACTAACGAAATGTCGTCATTGACTTATACGGAGGAAAGAACCCCGAGGGTTTAACAGTAGATTGAAACAAGTGAGGAGGTGAAGCAGAGCGAACTGGTGAATACACTCGGAAGAAGTCTCATGATTAGATGGGATGCCAAAGGAAATGATTGAGCTTTTCAGTTCCACATTAGTTCCCATGGGATTGATCCGGTTTTGCTATTAAGATCAGGAAAGCTAAAAAAGTGCTAAAGATGATGTCGTTTTCGTGAAAGCTCTGAAAAATCCAACGGTTACTTGAGTTTGCCTCTCCTATAGAAAAAAGGTGATCGAGACGGAACATGGAGAAATGGCCAAATCTTATGCGAACCATCCAGTATGAACGGTATGAACTCTCACTTGCGCAATCGTCAACCGATGATTCGATTAGCACCGAGGCGGCACGACTCGAACTGGATTCCGCCGAGGCTTGTCGCGCTTATCACCGTGGAAATCTCTGACGCTTCCTTTCAGTGTTTCTTTAGTGAATTTTTGATGTCTGTGGCAGCTACATCCTCGAACCGGAATTCCAAGACTAGTGGGGTACAGCATCCAATGGTATGCGACTGGGTTTACGCTTCAGAAAAACATTCCCAAACATCTTATGCTATAATCTTACGAGTAAACTGCAACCATGCTGAAGCAAAGAATAGATTTATCCAGCGAGTGGAGGAGAAACGTTACTATCCTCGTGGTGAACTATTGGGACTTTCCCTTCCTGGGGGTCTGAGAAAGAGGTAAACGGGTCAGGAACAAAATAGCAGGAGACAAAATGTTAGTGTTCCGGTCGTGACTATTTTTATGGGAAATCGCACAGCGTGTCATGTGTGAACATCAAAGCCACCCCAATTTGTTTCGGAAAGGGGTTGTAATGAGATTTCACGACCTATATGACTTCTTTACTCAGTTAGGGATTTCGGATCCGTATTTATAAGTTGAATGGTTATTTATTAATTTACTAGCGAGATGGCGTAAAATTTTTGATCCTCTCTGTAAAGCTAATTCCCTTTTGAAACTTCCGAACCAGAGAAGTGTTCGACAAAACTGGATTATTATCGTAATTTTCTATGAGTATTCACACGAAAAACGAAGCCCGATTGAAGCCGCTTTGATGAAGGCTACGTTAGGAAAGTGAATCTCGAAGACAGAGACCTATTTTTAGTGATCGGTATGGCAGAGCCTGATCAACAAAGTGAGCTTTAGAATCTAGTTGTGGGAACCGATTGCTCATAGTTGGTG